GTATGTTTAGTTAGATTTTTGAATGCTAGTGAAGACAGTGCTATTATGAATAGGACTTAAATCCTAACTCCTGTGTGAAGACATTCGTGGTACAGTGGACAAGACAGTGCGCTGGGAACTCAAAGATCGCAAGTTCGAGTCACGGATTGGACACTCCTACAAAAGACATGAAAGACGTTAAAAACAGCGGATTCAAAAACTCAAGTCAGGAAAACAGAACACAAGAATACTACCCCACATGGAAGCCAGTCGAAGTCGTCGAAGAACGAACACAGTCGAAGAACGAACACAGTTGACAGCTGTAGGTCACGTGAAACAGCAGACACGAGGAGCATGGCTGCTCTCCTTCTTTTGTATTGACCCCCTAAGGATTGCTAATCCCCCTTTCTAACTCTTCCCCCAAAAATAATATATCGCCCCTTTTAAAATGTATTGAGCCACAAATTAATGAATATTCATGAGCACAGAAACTGCAACGTCATGAATAAATTAGCATAATTTTAAAAAATTTGCATAAAGTGTAGGTACTCCTTCTGGAGCTCTGCCCAGAATAGCCTCTAAATGCTACTAATACATTAATATGGCGTCATTGAGGTATCTTCATGTTAGAGTAACTGCTTTCTAGTTAACAGTATCACATTATATGAGGTTATTACGAGGATACCTCAAAATATGTACAAAGACAGTACAGCGGTAGTATCGACCAATACGCAGCGGAGGTCGATGCAAGGGTGTACTGTCTTAGTGCATACTTCGAGGTATCCTTGTAATAACCTTATTATTATACATCTTTTCCTTTCAGGAATACATCATGGGAATACAGAAATCCAAAATGTTTAGAATAGAATCAGCGAACTTCTTTGTGTAGACTCCGGTCAAACCCTAGTGGCAGCCATGTTTGTTTTTATTATTATGAGAGGACGTTTACGCGCGTAATCATTCCATATTTGGAATTCGCATTTCCTAATTTGGTAGGATGAAAATACCCCGTAAAATACCGCAAAATTACGGCACGCTGTAACTTACGGTGACAGATGTATAATAATAGTGTGTATTCACTATTGTCACATATCAACATATTTTCCAACAGATCAAGATCAAAAGAGAGAGTACGTAGAGAAGATGTTAGTAAATTGAAATCAAAAGACCGTGGAAGAAGATCAAGTTCACCTACACCACATAAAACTGTGAAACAAAAAAGATATTCAATATCAAACTCATCAGGTGAATATAGCACAGATTCCTCTGGTTTCAGTAGATCACGTTCAAGATCTAAATCCAATGAAAAAAAACACTCTAGACATGGTTCACCAAAAAGAAGAAATCCTAGGAGGTCACAATCCCCTAGAAGAAGGTCCTTGTCACCAAGAAGAAGATCCTTGTCACCATGGAGATCTCAGTCCCCAAGGAGGAGATCCCGGTCACCAAAGAGAAGATCAAGGTCACCAAGGAGAAGATCCCCATCACCATGGAAATCCCGGTCACCAAGGAGAAGATCCCGGTCACCAAGGAGGAGTTGCCGGTCACCAAGGAAGAGATCCCGATCACCAAGGGACCAGTCAGTATCTGCATCAAGTGATTCATCCAAAGATTCTTCTTCCAGTAATAGTTCAAGTGAATCTGAAGATGAATTAAGTGAAAAAGAGAAGAAGAGACAAATGAAAAAGAGAAAACAAGAAAGAAGAAAACTAAGAGAGGAAAGAATGAGACTGAAAAGAGAAAAGAAGTATGTTTACTCTTTAAATCATGATATTTTCTTATAATTCTGGAGATAGGGACTTACAACTATCGTTTCACATATTTGTTTATTTCTGTTTTCAGAAGAAACAAGGAGATGATCAAAATTACTGAGACTGCTGAAGAAAAAAGAGCTAGGAGGCTTGCTAAGAAGGCTGAAAAAGAAAGAAAACGAAAAGAAAGAATGGGATGGGATAAAGAAATGATGGTATATAACACTTTTACATCAGTACAAGTCAATTAAATACACTCATAGATACCCTGAAATCTGTTACATTAGAAGTAATTATCAAGGAAAGAAAGTTACACTACCCGGTATATTTCATTACTTTGCCTAGCTTCACATAGCAATCAGTTAGATCAGGAATCTCAATCTCCAGTAATATTATTACGTAAATAAGTATGAATTCAAACAGTATGGCAGTTGTGTCAACCTCTGCAACTCATTGACCATATTCTGTCCCTTTGTTGTGCTGCATCTTTTCAATAACTTCAGTCTTGTGTTTTGATGCATTGAGAAACCAGCAAATACATTACTGTACAAGGGTATTGTCATGTAATTGTCAAAAGATATTTATGATTAGTTATGACTAGGAAGACTGAAAGGATTGTTAGTGTTTTCTATTAAAACCATGTTACTGTGTACAATGCTTGTATATGTCTAGGAATCATCTAATTAATTCATTGTCAATTATTTATCATTTAGGAATACACAAATGCTGATAATCCATTTGGCGATCCAAATTTATTAGAGACATTTGTATGGGACAAGGTAAGGCTGTTATTTGATACCAATCTTTTCCTGAAATTGCTTTTCTGAGGTTCACCACTGAGGGCGCTGCTTTAGAGGAAACTCCAGCTTCTGATTGTCTTGTGAATGTTCTAAAAATTACACATTTGAAATAGTGGGAATCTTAGATTATATTTGTATTTATAAATTCTGTAAATCTCTTGCATTTAGATTTCTGACGAATTTCTTCTATTGGAACGTAACTTCAGAAGCACACAAAAATTGACAATGCATTTATTGTATCTTGGATTGTTAATTTTGATATTTTTGCCAATAAGTAAAATCCACAAAATTAAATCCATGTCAACATGTAAAATATTAATAGAATGCATTATTTCACTGGTGAATTCGTGAACTTAAAAGAAAATGATCAAAATACCAGTATAGTGAACTTAAATGTCTGTGAAAATAAATGAATGTAAAGTATGACTTTGTTTTGCTATAAATACACCTTTGTTAAATGCATACGCTGCTAATAGAAGAAATACAATATTTGATGTAGTGTTCTTTCACTGTACTTTCAGAAAAATAAGAAGATGGGAATAAAAGACAATGACAAGGAAGATTTAAAGAAGAAAAGTAGACAGAAGCAAATTGAGAACAGGGTAACTACTTGCAGGCCTTTTAAAACAATTTTCTCTAACCTTTGAACCCCAAATAGATAATAGTTTATTTAGTGTGACCATCAATTATTACAATATCATTACTGAGATTGCTATAATGTGTAATTGTGTTACAGCTGGAATTGCAGAAAGTGAAACAAAGAAGACAGGAAAGAGAACGAGAAAAAGAAGAAAGAGATCGTGAATTGGAAGTCATGCAAAGACTGAAAGAAAATGAGCAATATAAAGAATGGGAACAACAAGAGGACAGTGTAAGTTAGTCGTTAAAAAAAGTAAAACTTTTTAGACTTCAAGAAAACATTATTTAAAGCTTCAGTCATTGTACAGCATCATGGTTGGTGTGGGTCCCATGCAACATATTCAATATGGGGCCCATGCAACATATTCAGTATCTTAGTACTTTACACCTTTCATTCGTTATTGTACAAAAATCTAAATCTCCATATGTTTTTTTCTCCATCAGTTTCATTTACAACAAGCCAAAATGAGATCTAAGATTAGAATCCAAGATGGCCGAGGTATGGTTTTCACATATCATGCTAACTGTGTTTTTGAAGTTAACAGGGTGAATGACATCACTGCGCAACTTTTATTTAAATAGGCAATTTTTCTTAATAATTCATTGACAACTGTGGGTTTGTTTCCCAAGTTTTTACTTAGCAGATAGCCCTAAATTGATATCGATTACCCAATTCATTCAGTCACTAGAGTTTACCGTGATATAATTTTCATAGTTCTATTTTGAAGAGAGACATGGCACTGACATATGGACACTCTTTCTATCACTCCTGCTTATTCTTTGAAAATAATATTTTCTACAAGTATGACATAATAAAAATATCCAAAACTGTTTTTGTAATATATTAGACTAATTGGGTTTGATGTAATATTGCTTACTCCATCGATGCTGCAGTATGATTTGGTTCAGAATGGTTATGACCACTTGTCAAGAATCATCAGCTATGCAATCTTCTCAAAACCAAAAGTATCAACAAATTATTGAGCAAGTTGCTTTAACAAGCTGCCTCAATAATTGTTAGACTTGCTGTAACAATATTTCAAAGCTTTATTCCTCCAAACATAATTGTATACTCTGTAATGGTGCTATGTTTTGTGTTATTTTTCAGCTAAATCTATTGACCTGTTAGCACAGTATATTAGTGCGGAAGATGAAGACGACTTAGCTGTTGAAATGCATGAACCGTACAAAGTACTCCATGGTTTATCTATCGTAGATTTAGAAGATCTTTTAGAAGACATCAAAGTCTATATTGAGTTGGAACAGGGTAAAAATGTGGACTTTTGGAAAGATATGACAATAATAACAGAAGATGAGCTTGTAAAATTGAGAAAAATTGACCCTAAAGTTGCTGGTAAATATTATTAGTGAAATTCTGTTTTATGCTTTTCAATCTTTGAATTAATTGTTTGTTTTTTATTCAGTATTCTAAGACCAGAAAAAGGTTTTGCTTCGCGTCTTAGGGAAAATTAAAGCAGTTTTTAGTTTTTAATAATTAAGATTAAGATAATATAACAACAATGTATATGTTCAATATTTATTAAATTATTGCTTTTGAATATATGCATTAAAAGTTGATGTAAAACATTTCTCTATTGTACCATATGTGACTGACTTTGTCGGTATGCAAAACAGAAAAAAATGCGCGAGCTGCATGTTTCAAACTGATGCGCACAATGAGAAGCAAAATTTATTTTTAATTTGGCCTAAATGTACCGTGATAAGATTTTAAACACTTAAAATTTCAATTTATTTGATATATTGTTGAGATGCACATTGTTAACTGTTTTTTTCTGACCATTGTTGTCATCTATGATTAATACAAAGCATAATAAGAAATAGGAATAGTAATACAATAAGAAATACCTGTATTTTATTTATGTAGATGAGGTTGAAAGAAGAGAAGGTATCAATGCATCTGTTAGTTCAGAAGTTGCTGATGTATTCAAAGGAAAAACTGTAAGTAATGGAAAATTTTGTAATTAAGGCCTCGACCTAATTTTAATTTGGAAATCTGTCATTCCATTTTAAAACCACAAAGAAGGGTCATCTTGTATTAAAGATTCTCTTTGAAACTAAATTCAATTACAAATTATTTTCAGGGTGTTTATTTATTCACAAATAAACATAAAAAACAAGATAATGAAATGGCAGGACATCTTTAATTTAAGCTGTAAGAAAGAAGGTGACTTATATTTTCTGGTTTCCTATTTTCTCAAGTTTTCTTATATGAAAGACTTCATAATTGCAGGATTACCTTAAAAATAAACGAGTACTCTAATTAACATTTTTCTCAAATTTTGTGTCAGTGATTATTTTATTGTGGTTCTTAAGTAGCACCAGTTATACTAATCAAAAGCTGACATTCTGCTTTGACAGTGCACTAACAACAACTAGCTAAAAAGTATGTAATTTCCCACATGAATGGTTGTAAATCAAGTTAAATAGTACCGGTAGTCATTGAATACTGAAGGGTGGGGCAAATGGCTCTTACAGGTGTGCGTCTCAGAATAAACTAAATTTGTAATATAGTCCATCTTTGATTGTCAATCAAAGAATCCTGGCCGAATCGTTGACTTGATGTCACCCTAAGAATTGAATCCATGGAACTACGGTCACATTGATGTACTGCTATTGACATGCTAATGTCAAGCGAATACAAAAGCTGTTGCATGTAGTACAGTGCACGTATTACCGGTATATGTCACTGGTTTTAAACAATATTTTGCTGGCAATACATCTTTAATGGGAACATAAAGTTACTTGCACAAATTTTGTCTTTTACTATGGTTCTCATTGAGGACTTAGAATTACTTGCACAAAGTCTTCTCATGACTGCCCTTAGATTATTTCTGTTACAGCTTTTAGTATTACAATTGTCAAAGGTTTTTTTGTGATTTTTTTCTAACAGTCCAACCAGCTGCTTGCTATGAAAGATCAAATACTGAAAAGAATTAAGAGTGGTAGTGCTGTTGATATTGGATACTGGGAATCCTTGTTACAACAATTGAAGGCACACATGGCTAAAGCAAGGTTACGTGAACGACATCAAGAAAGATTACGCAATAAACTGTATCGCTTACAACAAGAGGTATGTAATGGAATTTATAGAATTCCACATCAAGGGTCTGGGATATGATATCTCACACAAGATGGAAAATTGGTTGTCTCACTTGAGTTTCAGGCGAGTGTCAGATAAAAAGATCCCCAACTTGTGTGATAAATCTTATTTCAGGTCTATGGTGTGTGAGTTTTATTTTTCTCACATCACATCAAAACAACCTATTAAACAGAAAAGATCCATCGGGCTCAAATTAGTTGATGTACTATTTTACATTACAAAACATACTTCCTAACATCCGAATGTATGAGTGCCAAACAGAGAATATATTGTGCGCATGTATGTGATAATGCATTGTACAAACTCCTTGGCAAGTTAAATGCCAAACAATTCCTGTCTTCTGCAGGCAAGTCATCCAGTTTTTTGTTTAAAAATAGAATACTTTCAAAAGGTTCTGCATTCAGTAATGATATCATTATGAGAATTGTTGTCAGCTTCCCAGCAATGTTGCATTTGTTATTTCTTGTGTCAACATTGCATTGATGACGACTGCTCACTTTGAAGATCTAGCTTATTTGTTAATCATTGCCCCATTAAACAGTATTCTGATCTTTGCAAATTTCACTAATATTGTCAAAATTTTATTGCACATTGATGATCTCAAACTCCAAGCAACACAAGAAATACTTTTTATGTATTTTGTACATCAATACCCCAGTCCCGATTACTGTATGGCATCTCCAATATACTTAATCTTTTTTTTATTATTTGTTTATTTCACCGAATAATACAAATGAGTTGTGAAGTTTAGGGAATGTGGAAAGACTATATGGGAAGAGATTTCCCTTGGAGATGAAAGGAATAGTTTATAAGAGTTGTGTGAGATCAGCATTGCTGTATGGGAGCGAGACATGGTGTTTGAGTGAAAATGAGCTGGGTATTTTAAGAAGGACAGAGAGAGCGATGGTGAGAGTGATGTGTGGGGTGAAGTTGATGGACAGAAAGTTAACTGAGGACTTGATGCAGATGTTGGGTTTGAATGAAGTGGTAGATTGGTTGGCGAAGGCAAATGGGGTACGTTGGTATGGGCATGTGCTGAGGAGGGAGGATGGGCATGTATTAAGAAGGGCCCTTGATTTAGAGGTGAGTGGTCCAAGGAAAAGGGGAAGGCCAAAGAAGATGTGGAAGATGCATGTGGAGGAGGAGAGTGGGAAGGTTGGGATGAGGATGAGGGATGCTTTAAATCGTGCAAAGTGGAGGGAGGGGGTAAGAGCGATTGCCACTAGTTTAAGGTGAATCCGGCCACCCTCATCTTCGGGGACCAAACCGGATTTAAAACTCTGGACTACTACTAGTACAGACAATTCAAATGACAATAAAATAGTAAACGGAAAATGAAAAAAGTAAAAGTGAAAACTACCGTAGTATGAAACCCCTTTACTAAACGATTTCACATGTCTGTCATGAAAACGAATAAATGGCCATTGTATTGATGTGTCTTTCTAATAGATGACTAAATTGCCAAGTATTTAAGGATATGCAAATATTAGGAGACTGATAATCACATTGTATGTTGTTGGGATAAGGAGAATAGTAGAGATTTCATAACATACATCAAATATACATGTATCTTTAAAATGTCATAAATTGCTTGGCCTGTGCGTTCATGTGAATAACAGTTATATTTATAGTAAAAATAGTTTGAAAATGCATTGTTTTATGATGTGCTTTTAATAGAGTAATCACAGCATTTACAATATCAGAAGCTATTATGTTTATATTAATACTGAGGTGTCACCTGATATCATATGTTTGTAGAATTGGTTGATACAAGTGACATCATGTGCTAGTATTATCCATGAATGGAAAATGCATTCACAGTCATGGCTGCCAATGGTTATTGATAATCGACAGAAATATTACCTTTCTATTGAAATCTTTTGAAAATGTGCTTTTTCAGTCAATCTTTTTACGATTTAGTGTCATGGCACCATTGGAGTAATTGTTCAAGTAATTATTGTACTGCTATAAAAAAAAACGATATCACTGTACTGTTTGTTGTCCAGATAGTGCTATTTCACACTAACTATCGCAACTGTGAATAATATACAGTCAGGTAAAAACAAATAATATAACATGATTAATTTGTTGATTGCAGCAAAGAGTAGCACCCAAACCACTATTCCCATCTGGAATGACAGAAGATGAAAGTAATGAGACTGAGAAAGATGAAGTAAAAGACAGTGATGAGATAGTATTACCTCCTGATGGTGAGGAGGAAGAGGAAGGAGAGGAGGGCGCGTCTAAACCCAGCACTAGCACAGCTGAAGAACAAGCTGAGTGAGTCATTCTTCTTATTCAGTTGAACAACTGTGCATATGTTACTAGCTACATTTGGGTCTTGATGTGAAATATTTCATGGTCTGAATATGCACTCTGTCTTGAGACAATTGTGGGAAATATTATATTATGAATGTTCAATTTTCAGCGTTTCAGCCCACATTCTAAATTACTGCAGCCCACATTCTAAATTACTGCAGCCCACATTCTAAATTACTGCAGCCCACATTCTAAATTACTGCAGCCCACATTCTAAATTACTGCAGCCCACATTCTAAATTACTGCAGCCTACATTCTAAATTACTGCAGCCTACATTCTAAATTACTGCAGCCTACATTCTAAATTACTACAGCCTACATTCTAAATTACTGCAGCCTACATTCTAAATTACTGCAGCCTACATTCTAAATTACTGCAGCCCACATTCTAAATTACTGCAGCCTACATTCTAAATTACTGCAGCCTACATTCTAAATTACTGCAGCCTACATTCTAAATTACTAGGTACAGCCTACATTCTAAATTACTGCAGCCCACATTCTAAATTACTGCAGCCCACATTCTAAATTACTACAGCCCACATTCTAAATTACTGCAGCCCACATTCTAAATTACTGCAGCCCACATTCTAAATTACTGGGTTCGGTTTCAAAGCAGTAAGCTACAGATAAGCTAATCATAGAAGCACGGATGGGGGTTTCATTTCAAGTATGTTGTTGATTCCAGAATGCAGTCCCACACCAACCAAATGTTTTTCATCTTCCCCAAAACAAGAAAACCACTTCCAAGTTAATACAAAATCAGTATTGACAGAGTGGTTATTAAAACTTGTGTCGCACCTCTCGTTTCTTTTCTCTGCTGTTGGTGTAGGGCCAGCTAGCTCTGGGACCCCACTGGTGAGAGTATACGATAGAATTGTATCTTCAGGGGCGATTCGTGGTGTCACGAGTCGGTATTCAAAAATGCTTTGATGGGTTGAGGTGATGACTCAAAACAGATACAGGACAGCACAGGAAGCAATAGGCTGACAACAAAATCTCAGTTACAAGTCAACATGAGCATTTAATAAATAAGGCAAAATATCAACAAAATGTGTTAAATTTCATACACAATAGTACACAATAGTACACAAACGTTGTATAAAAATGCACAGCAAAACTCAGCTCATAGCTAGATACTATGCAGCAGTCAATAATAACTATGTTGGCAATATAATATAACAACTACCCAAGCTCAAAATCACAATAAATGAACCCCAATATACCTTGCACTGCTATAGGTACACAGCATAGGTGACAATATAATTAGAAATACACACTAAAGATACACAACAAATTCGTAAACCCACTTTCATAGGGTTCAAAGGTATTCAAACTTTTATCAATACTACAAAAACATCAATAAGATACACACAGGTGAACCAAATGGTAGTAGAAATACTAGAAGTACACATAAATGGGCTATATTCAATAATATCAATGTAGGCAAGGTACACATGAATAGGCTATGTTCAGACTGGTAAACTTGCCACACTCGAATGAAATACAATTACTTCTGCAGAATAAGTAAAGAAAACAACACTATAGAATAGCGTGCAACCTGTTGCCACTCACTCACACATACGGGTAGTCTTGCTACGTATAATGTCAGCTGCCAAAAGGAAGTATCGATAAACACAAAAGGAAATCCGCGCGGCACAGAAATATATTTTAGGAGAAACCCAAGCAAACACAAATGGGTAAAATTTCCTCAAATACTGACACCACCATGCACAAGTGATCCCAAATATTAGCACAACGTCTGAATGCAAGCAATATGAAACATCAAACTGACATTTGAGCTAACAAGACACTCGCGTCTCTCACGCGCATACACAGATACACACAGTAACAAAAAAAAATAAAGTGCACTGATAATAAACTCACAAGTCACTGTTCACTGTTTGGTCTTTAGCTGCTTTTCCACGTCAGATCACATAAATGGCGATTTTCTGGGGGATTTCTGTCATGGCGAGGCAAAACAACAATACGCGGCACCACGGGAACTGCAAGATTACACACACTAGACTTCGTACACACGTACTTTACATACGTTGCGCTGTATTGCAAACAAGTCCGACTCAATTCCTACAAGCACTGGTCGCAGACAATACAAATCATGTACTGTGCAGTGTTCGTGTCGAGATAAGCCTGTCCTGTTCCTCCATTCTCGCGCTGTTCGTTCCTGCTTCCTCGCACTGTTCGTCCCTCTTGCTAAGTTCTGATCTAGGGTCATTGAAGTGTCCTCAGCCCATTGCTGCACGTGAGTCACATCATTCATAACAACTTTGTACAGATTCTACATGCACTGTTTCCTACGAGGTTCGCAATGATCACATGACAGTGTTCAAAAGTAAACAACCGATGATGGGCGAGACCATTCATGAAAACGGGAGATGTCACTATCGCACAAGGTTGAGCACAGCATACAAACTTACAAAAATGTGGTAACAACTCACACAATCCCACAACAAGGGACAGGAAGTGACTGTTGCCCCAAAGTTTACAAGAGAAAACTATGGGTGCGACACTTGCATTACAGGAGACGGTGTCTCTACATAGTACATAATACATAGTACAGTTTTATATTATCTACAACATAGAACCATGAAATACAGTGTTTACAGGTTTCTCAACGTCAGATATTGCCATGACTACTATGGTTTGTCATCTGTTGTACATTTCGGCCATTTTCAAGCAATTTAATATTATCGCAAACCCAGTCAATCAAAGGTGTACTGCTCGGTGGTCACTCATCAGATTTCTTCACTTTTTTCAGAAATTGTAGATGTGGTATAAACGAACTATAAGTCTTCAAGATTTTTTTTGTAAATTTTTGCATTCTAGAGATGTTACTGCCCTAATGTAAAAACGGACACCACATTTTTATTTAGTCTGGGTAAAGTCTGGGTTTTCATAACAAAAATAGATTGAAATGGTTTAGAACGACTCTTCTGGGAATACAATTAATTAATTAATATGTATTTTACTTCTCAGAAAACTTGATTACATCTGTAATCTGATAATTTATATATACAGTTACAGTCCAAATGTAACTTAACATTTACATAGCTTTCATCTGGCTTAAAACTAACTTAGCTTAATTTCAAAATCAAAAGTTGTCTACCTTGTGCAAATTAAGCTGCCTAAATATTTCTCATATTATTAACATAGGTAAATCCTAAAAGAAAAAATTGAAATTATTGATGAAAATGATACTCACATTAAATATTGTAAATTCTCAAAAAGACAACGTCAGCTGATAGCTAGCTTGGAATTACTTTACACTCAGACTGTGTGGTATGCATATCATTAACTATCGGATAACAAATGTCGCTGTCTGGTCAGCCTAGCTCGCAATTTGCTGTGACAAAGTTGTCCATGAGTTGTTTGATCAACAGAGAGACACATACATGCATATATAAATACTGTGAAATACTTTAATTAATTTTCACTGAAAAGACTTTTTGGGTGTTTTGTGCGGATTTTATTTTCACTGATCTTTGACGAATTGAATGTAAAATATAGGAAAAGCAGTATATTCGCTGGATTTTATTTTCACTGAATCATTCCTTCAGCGAAAATAGTGAAATTGATTCCAACCGAAAATAAAGTATTTTACAGTACAAAAGCAGTAAACAATGCCTTTATTTTATTCTTTTGTGCAAATGACCAGTTCTGGCCAATGAGTCACTGTGCATGCGTACACAAAAAAAAATGTGAACAGCGACAGCCTAGACAACACTTTTCAATAGAGTGCCCTTTTTTAGTCTACTCTGAAACATTGAATGATGGAAAAGTTTGTAATTAGTTGTGTTCCCCAGTATAAATGGACTTTCTATTTCTATTTTTCTTTGTATTTTGAAATTTATCAGTATACTATTCCTAAAATATACAGTTTATAAAAAAATGTTAGTATCAATCAATCATGTCATAACACAATCAAAAGCTGTGTGACACATTTCTCAGTTTGGTCACTAGAGGGCACACTTGTAGATTTGACTACTGTACATGTATCTCCAAAACTAAGTTGATGGCAACCTGTGAGAATTATTCAAATTTACATATTTCCAAAAATACTCCTATCCAATCATATTCCATATGGTTTCTGTTTACCGAAATTCAGTCTTGCTATTTAAAAATCAGAAATATAAGAAAATAATAATTATTATGGCAAACTTTATTCTTCTATTTGTATTTAAAAATAACATTTCCTGTGTCATTAGTGTCAATTTGTAAGGGCCATTGCTGATTATATGAACACTGAAAGCGTAGCACATTAGCTATATACCCAACCTCAGGGATTAAGGTACAAGATTTCCTTAATTTACCTACCAGGGTCCTGGACAAAATGTTACCTTAGCCTCTCTCTGATAGACTCTCACTGTCGATTTTATGTATCATTTCCCTTAATAGTGTTCGTCTGGCATCATAATTGTCTTATATCAACAAAATGGTGCCGACTCAACCCTAACTTTTCTCATCAAATTTTATATGATATAGGTCATATGAAAATTGTGTCTAGAACAGTAATTCTGTAAGATTTGGTTATCTTTATGTAAATATATATTTAAACAAAAAAAAATGTTCAAAATGTTTCAAAATCATAGCTAATAATAATAATATCATGTTTTTTAATCTCATATTCTATAGGTTTCTACTTAATTCAGTCTTGCTTTTTTTTAAAATGAATTATATTTAATTCATCATTATTTCTTTGAAAATAATAATTGATATCATGTTTTTCAATCTCATCATTGGATGGTAAAATAACAAGAACTGTTGAATTCAAAATAATCAGGTTTCAAACATGACGTTAACCTTGGTGATGTACATTTTATACGGAATCTTAGTAACAGCAATGCGATGCAAAATGAATTTTCTGAGTTCAACCCCGATCCAAATCTCTCACAGTTAGGATATTTGGTCTTATACCCATTTAATACCTGCTTCCCGAGACAAAATAAGTTTAGGTTCTTGTCATCATGCAATTTTGTGTTTCTGTGAGTGCACCACATATGGTAGAATAGGGAAATGTTTGTTTTCATTTTTGTCAATCCAAATAAACCATTGGCTTTGCATGTTTTAGAAAACATCATTGATAAATGTTAAACATTGAACATATATCTTGATGTTGAATAATCCTTATACAAAAATAAAAATTAAAACCAAGTCACAACAATTTATCTTATGTTGTAAAATACTTTATTTTCACTTGGAATTAAAATTCAGCGAATAAACCCTTTTTCCTAAAAATTATGTTCAACTTCAAAAATAAGTGAAAATGAATTGCATACAAAACACCCAAAAATTCTTTTCAGCGAAAATTAATTCCAGCTAAAATAAAGTGTTTTGCATACTGTGAAGTACAACTCAGTATGAACAAGTGATTCAATGAAGGAGTGATTCAGTGAAAATAAAGTCCAGCGAATATACCTTTTTTCCTATAAATTACGTTCAACTCGTCAAAAAGAAATAATTAATTCCATACAAAACACTCACAAATTCTTTTCAGCGAGAATTAATTCCAGCTAAAATAAAATATTTGACAGTAGTCTAAAAGCATGTTTTGCATACTGTGAAGTACAACTCAGTCTAGCTATTAATCACTATAGTACAAGTATTAGAAATGTATCTCTAGTAGAAAGGCATATAAATCAATAATTACATTTGCTAAATAGTGAGTTTAAAATATTACCTACCGGTACTAGAAATTACTTTATTTTCACTTTGAATTTATTTTTGCTACTTTCGCTGAAAAAATGAAATCAGTGAAAATAAAATCTGCTTATTTTCTATATGTTACATTTAACACGTCAAGTCAGTGAGAATAAAATTCATACAAAACAGCAAAAATGTTTTTTTAGCAAAAATTAATCCTACAAAAAATAAAGTATTATATAGTATTTTGACCATAAAAACACCTCTGTAATTTATGTAAGCTTATGCACTACAGCTAGAGCCATACTGATCAATATGCTGTTTGTATAACAGACTTAGGGATGCATTTTTAGTCCCCGTTCGGATGTAGTCTGAAAACGGGGATTTATGTTTTGCCCTGTGTGCGTGCGTGCGTCCGTGATCACCTGTATCTCGAACATGCATGGACCGATTAAGTTCAAACTTCATTCATACATCACACATTATATGGGACATATGCACATGCATTTCTTTCATGATCCGATTAACGATAGCCGAATAGCGGCCATTTTAAAGCCGAAAATGCATCAAAATCACACATTTTCACCATTCCGGACACGGATCTCAGTTATGCATGGACGGATTTTGTTCAAATTTGGTACATACATTAAACATAATAGAACCTTGATGCACTTCATTTTTTTTTGGGATCAGGTTTGAAATGGCCGACTGGCGGCCATTTTGTTTTAAAGAATTCAATTCTGGATCCGTATCTGAGACATGCTTGGATTGATCGAGTTCAAACTTCACACACACAAGGTACATCATGTCACAAATATGTATGTGCATTTGTTTCATGATTTCATTAACGATAGCCAAATGGCGGCCTCTTTAAGGTCGAAAATGCATTGAAATCGCACATTTTCACCATTCCGAACTTGGATCTCAGTTATGCATGAACGGATTTTGTTCAAATTTAGTACATACATTAAACATAATAGGACCTTGATGTACGTCATTTTTTTTTCGGATCAAGTTCGAAATGGCCGACTGGCAGCCATTTTGTTTTAATAAATTCAGTTCTGGATCCGTATCCAAGACATGTCTGGATTGATCAAGTTCAAACTTCACACACACATGGTACATCATGTCATGGTACATCATGTCACATGTGCATTTGTTTCATGATCCGCTTAACAATAGCTGAATGATGGCCATTTTAAAATCGAAAATGCATCAAAATCACGTATTTTCACAATTCCGGAACCTGATCTCAGTCATGCATGGATGGATTTTGTTCAGATTTAGAACAATGTGTAGTACATATGCAGGTGCATTTCGGTCATGATCTGCTTTGAATGTATATGTCACTCAAATATGAACGGAACGGGGACGTGTCATTGACAATGACTTGTTAACCATTACTTTCCTTATTAAACAAGCGGTTATGTTTGACTATTGTGGTTTGATGACTGAGTTGTAATATATCAGGCGTTGCCGAGCACATACAATTTGTAGACTTATGGATAACGCAACGTCTCGTAGTATATATTCTCAACGGTATAAAGTTTTGAATATTGCAAGAAAACTACACTCTTGAACTCGTGAAAACTACAAAACAAGGTGGCAACTGCACAGGAATAAAATTGGCGCCCTAAACTGATAGGCAGCCTCTTTCTGTTATCGGTCTCTGATTGGCCAGATAAAATATTTAAAAGTCATATTCATCGGTAATATTTAGCGTCCTTGCTGCATCCAGCGACAATAATGTAGGTATGTACTTACCCAGCAGTCTGTAATGAAACGTCGATTATTGAAATGTGATTATTTTTCTTTGTTTAGAGGCGAGTCGATACTAACTGAAGAAGATCTGATCCGAGTAAGTCAAGATGAATATACCAATGGTAGATACAGTCCTGTCTTGCTGACTAATAAAGATTTAGCTGCAGATACACTCATATTTGATGCTGAGGAAGATGACATCAGATTACAACATGCTAGAAATCAAGTCTTGGGAACAGGTTCTGCCAAGGTATGTATACATAGTCGCCACTTTTATATGAAGACCACCTGCCTATAGTGACCCCCTTTGTGCAATCCCATTGCAGTTTACAATATAAAGTGACCTGTATATAAAGACCACCTGCTCATAGTGACCACCTTTGTGCAGTCCCAATGCAGTTTACAATGTAAAGTGATCTGTATATAAAGACCACCTGCCCATAGTGACCACCTTTGTGCAGTCCCAATGCAGTTTACAATATAAAGTGACCTGTATATAAAGACCACCTGCCTATAGTGACCACCTTTGTGCAGTCCCAAAACAGTTTACAATGTAAAGTGATCTGTATATAAAGACCACCTGTCCATAGTGACCACCTTTGTGCAGTCCCAAAACAGTTTACAATGTAAAGTGATCTGTATATAAAGACCGCCTGCCTATGGTGACCACCTTTTTGCAGTCCCAAAACAGTTTACAATGTAAAGTGATCTGTATATAAAGACCACCTTTGTGCAGTCCCAAAACAGTTCACAATGTAAAGTGACCTGTATATAAAGACCGCCTGCCTATGGTGACCACCTTTTTGCAGTACCAAAACAGTTTACAATGTAAAGTGATCTGTATATAAAAACCACCTTTGTGCAGTCCCAAAACAGTTCACAATGTAAAGTGATCTGTATATAAAGACCACCTGCCTATGGTGACCACCTGTGTGCAGTCCCAATGCAGTTTACAATATAAAGTGATCTGTATATAAAGACCACCTTTGTGCAGTCCCAAAACAGTTTACAATGTAAAGTGATCTGTATATAAAGACCAACTGCCTATAGTGACCACCTTTTTGCAGTCCCAAAACAGTTTACAATATAAAGTGACCTGTATATAAAGACCACCTGCCTATGGTGACCACCTGTGTGCAGTCCCAATGCAGTTTACAATGTAAAGTGACCTGTATATAAAGACCACCTGCCTATGGTGACCACCTTTTTGCAGTCCCAAAACAGTTTACAATATAAAGTGACCTGTATATAAAGACCACCTGCCTATAGTGACCACCTTTGTGCAGTCCCAATGCAGTTTACAATGTAAAGTGATCTGTTTATAAAGACCACCTGTCCATAGTGACCACCTTTGTGCAGTCCCAAAACAGTTTACAATATAAAGTGACCTGTATATAAAGACCACCTGCCTATGGTGACCACCTTTTTGCAGTCCCAAAACAGTTTACAATATAAAGTGACCTGTATATAAAGACCTCCTGCCTATGGTGACCACCTTTTTGCAGTCCCAAAACAGTTTACAATATAAAGTGACCTGTATATAAAGACCACCTGCCTATAGTGACCACCTGTGCGCAGTCTCAATCCAGTTTACAATATAAAGTGATCTGTATATAAAGACCACCTTTTTGCAGTCCCAAAACAGTTTACAATATAAAGTGACCTGTATATAAAGACCACCTGCCTATGGTGACCACCTGTGTGCAGTCCCAATGCAGTTTACAATATAAAGTGATCTGTATATAAAGACCACCTGCCTATAGTGACCACCTTTTTGCAGTCCCAAAACAGTTTACAATATAAAGTGACCTGTATATAAAGACCACCTGCCTATGGTGACCATCTTTGTGCAATCCCAAAACAGTTTACAATGTAAAGTGATCTGTATATAAAGACCACCTTTGTGCAGTCCCAAAACAGTTTACAATGTAAAGTGATCTGTATATAAAGACCACCTTTGTGCAGTCCCAAAACAGTTTACAATGTAAAGTGACCTGTATATAAAGACCACCTGTCCATAGTGACCACCTTTGTGCAGTCCCAATGCAGTTTACAATGTAAAATGATCTGTATATAAAGACCACCTTTGTGCAGTCCCAAAACAGTTTACAATGTAAAGTGATCTGTATATGAAGACCACCTGTCCATAGTGACCACCTTTGTGCAGTCCCTATGCAGTTTACAATGTAAAATGATCTGTATATAAAGACCACTTGCCCATAGTGACCACCTTTGTGCAGTCCCAAAACAGTTTACAATGTAAAGTGACCTGTATATAATGACCACCTGCCTATAGTGACCACCTTTGTGCAGTCCCAAAACAGTTTACAATGTAAAGTGACCTGTATATAAAGACCACCTGCCCATAGTGACCACCTTTGTGCAGTCCCAAAACAGTTTACAATGTAAAGTGATCTGTATATAATGACCACCTGCCTATAGTGACCACCTTTGTGCAGTCCCAAAACAGTTTACAAT